CACATGTGGGGAGTCCCAAGTCGTTCCTCGGACCAGGACGTCGCTGTGGTTAAGTGAAGATTGAGGACGTACCAAGACTCTTATATCTGCTCTGAGGAGGAACGGTGGATGAGCGACGGTAATCCACATTTTAAGTGATGTGGAAAATGATCGTTCAGCATATAAGTGTCTGTAAATCGAAGAATCTGTCTCTCATGGTCGGTTGCATGTTGCTGGCATCTCATATGATCCATTGTATCAGGTCTGTAGAAGCTCCACATGCTTTATTTCAGCTCCTGAACATTCTTTTGTGTCATCTATCAACAGCATGAAGGCTCTTATCAATAGATTAAATAAACCAGAGGGAATCAGTGACCCAGTGGGACTCTGTAATGTGCTGACTAGGCCGATACACAGAGCACAAGAGCACACGTGGATTAGTTTTATGACAGGTCAAGCTTTCTCAGAGCTGTGGTAATGATTGAAAAATATCCCTGTAATTGCTGATAAGCTTTTTAAAGTTTCAGTAAACCCCTGTTGGCCGCTAAGTTGGCACATAACTTGTTAATAAACTCTGGCTTTGTAGTGCAACGTCGAGGGCCAGCGGCTTCTTTCATCCTATTGTCTTCTCACAGTCTAAAGGGTGTGCGCTGCATTTTGAGTGTTCTGCAAATCATTCAAAAGGGCATTTTGCATATGTGACAGAAGAAGAGAAAAAAGGTACAGGGTGTTTAGGCTGGTCAGATCAGATTCGATATTAACATGCCTTCCATTCAGATGAAAAAACAAATTTCAGCTGGGTTTCTATTTGCAGTTAGATAATCCATCTGTTGTGAAGAAAGTGTTTTACTATTGCCATTGTATTTGCCTCAGCTGTGACCATCGTGCACACTGCTGAAATGTCCATACACAACACAGTAAATTCAACAAGTCCCACTATGCTGTATTGTGGCCGATCCTGACCTCTGAAAGGTTTTCCCTGAATGGATCAATATAGGATCTCGTTACCATTTCTGCTGTTTATAGCTGTAAAGCACAAGGTTAAAAAAGGTCTACAGCCATGCTACTATCTAGTATCTGTGATGCTGTCTTTATGCAAAGCGGTGCATTGAGCTAAATCAGAATCAGAATCTGCTTTATTGGCCAGGTGTGTTGGACACACAAGGAATTTGACTCTGGAACATCGGCCCTCAATGTGTATGTACATATCCCCATGCAAGGGGCAAGTAAACAGTAAACCAGCATAAGGCTGTGTAATATAACAAAATAAGCAGTATTAACAAGCAACAAACAGTGCAAACAATGCAAAATAAGCAGTATAAACAGGCAGTAAACAATGCAGACAGACAGAGGAATGCTCATTGAAATGAGATAAAGAGGAATAAAAATAGAGTACTTAAAACTAGAGACCTATACGGATCTGTATAATCTGTACAATGTATATTTACAGGTATTGCACTGAGGATTATTGTCCAGTCATACTGTCGTGGGTCAACTGTTCATCAGAGTGATGGCCTGGGGGAAGAAACTGTCCCTGTGCCTGGTTGTCTTGGCGCACAGTGACCTGTAACGCCGTCCAGAGGGGAGGAGTTCAAATAGATTGTGTCCCGGGTGTGAGGGGTCTGCAGTGATCCTCTCTGCCCTCCTTTTGACCCATGAGGTGTACAGGTCCTCCATGGAGGGCAGGCTCACACCAATGACCTTTTCTGCAGTCCTGACTGTCCGCTAAAGTCTGTACTTGTCCTGTTTGGTTGCTAAATGCTAATATCAACATGATGCTGGTTAGTGGGATGTTTTCAGTTTCTATCTTAGTTTAAGGCGTTGGCATTCTAGTATTCACTAACTAGCAAAAACACAGATAAGCCTGACGGGAGTGTTGTTAGTTTTGCATGTATTTGGTCATAACCCATATTGAGAACCAAGGTTTTTCACCAGCTGACACCACCACACTACTAGCATGGCTAAAATTGCTTGTCTTTGACAACTTTGTAATGTCAAACTATTAATATTTTATTAATCTAGGCCAACTTGTCACTGGGCATTTTGAAAGGCAAATTGCAAATGTTATCCACATAGAGTATGTGACCATGTAATAAGCAAACTCTTGGAAACATATTGTATCATTACCACACAAAAGCACACGACTGTTCCAGTACCCCAGACCCGCAGGAGCCCTAACATCGGTTGCCTATTTATGTCATTTAGTTGCACGTAGTTTGTTTAGCACCTTGCTACTGCACTGACGTTCAGTATCACCTACAGTATCTTAGGTATTTATTGTTTTTTGGCTTATATTCTGTCTGATCCATGGCTAGATCAACCTTCTGATGGGCTCTGGGGCAAAACATTTTTTTGTTGGGCCCCTGTTGACCCCCACTATAGAAGACAGCTTCGTTATTTCCCCAGGCAGTATTTTAGAGCTGAAATTATTAGCTGTTGACAGAAAAGTGATAATTGATTTATTACTTTTAATTTTTTTAAGCAAAGTGTGAATTTGGGGTGGCATAAGATGACACTTCCCAAAGTTATCTCTGTATTAACTCTGATAGACACACACACACTAAAAGATTTTAAGTCTTAAAGAGGGTGAGGACCCATCATAGCTGATGTTGTACTTCACTGCTGCAAATTTCAAACAATTTGCAATTAATTAAATTATGTACCAAAAATGACATTGTAACACTGGGGTGAACTTTGGACTTCTGGGGCACCTGGGATGGGGCCTCTGGCCATTTGCCTTGTTTTCTGGTTGTTAATCCAGCCTTGGCCTGATGTGGATCTAAATAACCTTTTCAAATATTCCAGAAGAATTTATGGCACTGTGAGGTACCCTTCTGTTTTAATTATTTAAAATGAATAATACTGAAGACAGGCGCACACAGCTGACAGCACCGTTCGACCCGTTAAGGAGAATGATACTGTCAAGGCCTGCTCCGAAGAAGCCAGCTGACAATGGAAACAGGGCGCAGTTTCAGAAACATCCAATTTAATCTGTGCGCTTCTGTTAACAGGTCCGGGTGACGGATTCACCCGTGGCCTGGCTATTTAAATTATTTTAAAATCATAAAGGCAAGGAAACAAGGCATCGGAGGGGAGGAGGTTGAGAGAAACAGTCAGAAACCAGAAGTGGTTTCCCTGAAGCAAATTACCTCTATATCATCGCCGGAGACAGGCGGCAATCTGCCTGATGGAGAGCTGAGGGTGACAGACAGAGCCACAGTGGGGAAGGAGGAAGCCAGTGAGAGGTGGGCGGACCCGAAAGACCCGTCCAATTTTCTGGAGGTCAAATACACGCGCGCTCCCGCACATGCTCCTGTCATGTCTTCAAAAGATCCCCCCATGTAGTTTTTTATTCATACCAGCAGAATGGGTTTCAATTTCCTGAGATGCGCGGTTTAGAGGTTTATTGGTGGAAGCTTGGGCTGCAGTTTGGATTAAACTGTGACACTGTGACATCTAAAGCTGCTGAAGGGATGAAAAGCGTCTGCAGGAATGTCAACACCAAACACCATGCTGCGCCATTTAACTGTGCATTGGATGCTTGTCATTGTTTACTGTCTAGGGCTAAGCACCAACGATTGGTTTAATTATCACTTATTTTGAACACTTTCTTTGAATTTGGTCCCTAGATTCTCAGGAGTAAAAATGCATTGGCGTCTTAAAATTGTTTTTTTATGACCAGCAGTACCAAACTCAACGATGTTCCATTTAGAAGACAATGGAAACATTTGATAAGCTGACATCAGTGAATCTGTGCCATTTTTTTCTACAGCAAACAGGCTAATTCAGATCAATTTCCAGAATTGTTTACGATTAATTTTCGATCAGTTAATCGATGAGTAGTTTACGTCCATGTCTCACGCACACCCGGTAGACAGTTAGGAGTACTTTTCCATCCCATAGGCTACACATGATGGTAGTAGACTCGCGGGACTCCAGTACTTTTATATTCCATACAGTCACTCCGCAGTGCCTACTTTTAGACTAACAAATAAGTATAGGTAAATAAATGAAATGAGTAAAACGATGACGAAATGAAAGATTCAGCATTTCCTAGGAGAAGCCTCTGAGACAGCACACTGGACATGGCTGCTGGGGGGCCTAATGCAGTTTTCATAACGAAACCTTTTACTAAACAAACAACACTTTAAAACGATATAACTAAAAATTATAGAGGCGTGTTGACTGTCTTTTTTTAACATTAGGTTCAGTCAAATGTGGAGCGTCCGTGTTGGGCCAGCACTAGGTTGTCAGACTGTAGTATTGTAGCCTGGTATCATGTTTGCAAGGTTTAGGTGTTAGTGAAATAACCGGGTTAGACCACTTTAATCTATTCAACTGACTAAACTGATGCAGCTTTGTTGAAACGAATAAGTCATTTTCCACTTCAGCTTCTCCTCAAATGGCCTTACTTCACAGGATGCAGAAGGCCAAATGAACTTAGGGTATAGCCTCTGCCGAGTCATTATACTATTATGGTTTGTGTGCAGTTCTTGATTGTAAACTTTAATTGCATTGTTGTATTTATGGCTGGCCTAGCGGAACACAGTCTTTTTTCTTATCTTCACCCAATCACAGGTACTCGGTAACATTATGATTGATGGAAAACAGCCAGCATTTGGAGCTAAGGTGTGGGGAGTGTTTGTAGCGCTAATTGTTTTATCAGTCATACAGGTGCATATAATTTTATGGCAAGAGAGGAGCTGCTAGTAAGATAGATACTGAAACTACAGTTGCTTAATTTTCTAATGCGCTGTAGTTGAAGGTGTTTGCAGGCGGGACAAGGGTTGGACATTACCTCACTCTGAACGCTTCTGGGGGGAGAAACGAGCGAGTAATTAGCTGATTAGAGGCCCTTCAGAGCAGCTCAGCCGCCAGCCAATCCCAGCTCACACCGGCCTGCAGGGGTGGAGAACAAGGGCTGATGGTGTGAGACTATATTTTTGAAGTTAGTATTAAACCGCAGGATGGGGCAATATTGCAGATAGACAAGTTGGCACAATTCAAGGAAACAGTGGGGCAATATTGCAGATAGACAAGTTGACACAATTCAAGGATGGCCATGCAAACCTCAGTCATTTAGTCTGTTGAGAAGTAGATTTTTCTAACGACATCAGTCATTTAGTTGATATTGCTTATTTTTCAATAGCATATGGCTCGTGTTGATACCTACAGCCTGAACTTTATGAAAGGATAAGAAGAACACCGTGACTGGAAAAGGCTCCACTCCCTGCATGCTGACGCAGGCACAGGTGCGCACCCGCCAAGTTTGTTTTTTTTTTTTAAAACTCTTCAGTCTTCCCCAGTGAAGCCGTTATGGAGAAATCGAAAAACTTCAGAATTGACGCCCTGCTCTCTGATGAGCCCAACCGGGGGAGTCGAGATCTGTCCCCGGGTCTGAGCAGCGACAGCCCCGCGGGCAGTCCGGTTTCTTGTCGCCATGCGGACACTCCTCCTGCACGGGCTTCTCAACTTCAGGCCGGAATAATCTCCAAACCGGGTGTTTTAAATTTCCCACATCCAGGACTTGCTTCATTGCCTCAGGGGGCGATTCCCGGCATGTATCCTGCACCCATGTACCCATTGTCGGCGTTGGGTGGACAGCACCCCGCGTTCGCATACACAGGTTTTACGCAGCTAACACAGACCTACCCAGAGCACCTAAAGGCGGCTGCCATGACGGGATCACTGCCCCTGGAGCACTGGATCCGCGCTGGAATGATGATACCTCGAATGCCAGATTATGGTTGTAAGTATGATAAGATTCTTATGGTTAAAATAGAAACTTTAAAACTCAAAAGCGGAATAACTCACGTGCGTAAAAATGGGCCTATAGATTTGACATCATTCAAAGACGGAAGCAAATCAGTGTCATGTGTGAACCGTTATCAGTTTTTAAAAGGAGGAGATTTATTCAGGTCGCTTGATTTCTGAAGAACTGAACCTCGGAGGTGTTGTAAACTGTGACTGTCAACTGAGTTAATGTTTGACTAAACTCCACCCATGTTATGTTCCTGTTTGTCTTTTACTGTGATGATGTTGGAACTATTATACAAGGCTAATAATAAAAAGTGTTTATTTTATATACATATATATTACTTGTTCTCATTTTAAGTAAACAACTGATTTACTAATACAATTACATTGCTGATCGGCATGTCTATATCTATGCTTCAGAGTATTTGAATAAGACGCTTAATAGAATTTTGGTGATGTGATTTGCAGAAACAGTTTACGCGTTTGGATTTCATGTACATGTGCTATTAAATTAGTTTCCCAGCCAATGAGTTTTCTAAGCCATGCATGTTTTGCAGTATTTTACTCAAGATAATACCGGAAATCTTAATTTATTTAGCGACTTGTATTGGGATTTTTTTTACTCCTTATCTGTGTGTCATATTTACATTTTTGCTCATTTATTTCTTTATTTGTGACAGAGAAACTAAACCAGCAGATAAAATGTTCTTTAGTTCATCAATAAAGTCTCAAAAGCCTTCATTGAATTTTCATTAAGTTAATGGCATGTTTGTGTTTTATGGCATCTGCGCCTGTTTCTGCCGTGTCCCCTCAACACTACGCTGGAGTTAAGCTATTTTAATTAATGATGGCCAAACCTATGTGTGCATGTTACCACCCACAAAATATGTCGGACTTTCTATGTCATTGGTATCATATATAAATAAGACAGGTGACAGTGTCAGGCCAAAACATTTCACCACGTTTAAGACGTGATTTTTTTTCTAATGGTCACATAGTTCAAAATAAATATCTGAATTTTCAAAACAAAATATTAAGACGTGTTAAATATAACAACTTCATAGACAAATGTTAAATAAGTTGTCAGAAAATAATTGTAAATTTAACTGTAAGTTGCATGAAGCCACAGCCATACAGACTGATAACTGTGCTCTTCCTCCTCCAGCGGGGCCTCAGTCTGGTCTTTTGGGGAAGTGCCGGAGGCCCCGCACTGCCTTCACCAGTCAGCAGCTCCTGGAGCTGGAGAACCAGTTCAAACTCAACAAGTACCTGTCCAGACCCAAACGCTTTGAAGTGGCTACCTCACTCATGCTGACTGAAACACAGGTGAGATAAACCAGTCCACTTCATAAGTCAAGGGGTCATTAAAACAAAGTTTACTGGGCAGTATTCCTGTCTGGCTTTCATTGCTCTGTGAAAACTAACAGCCAGCCACAGCACACCCTGGAATTTAATGGAATACCACAAAAGATGCTGAAAAATCAGAATTAAACAGGAATATGAGCATAAAATAATAAACAACAGTTTGTGTAAGTGATTCCATCTAAAAATCCAATTAAATGGCTCCTTACATGTCCCAAGGTCTGACTGAAACTATAATGATAATTAAAATGGTTTTAACAGAGAGGAGTCACAAGTGTGCAACAAACACATAAAACTGTATAAATTGTGATTAGTGTATATTTGGTTAGAAGGTGCCTTTATGACCAGATATCCCAAATAGTGTGTAAGCGTTCATTCTTAGATATTTGTGCATCATAAATAGTTTTTGAGTTGTGTTTTAGGTTCTGCAGTCAAATTTGACTTAAGAAAACATATTATTTGCTCTTTAGTGTCAATGAGGAAAAGAAAAGTGAAGGTGTGGGTATTTGTATCCAGATATACTGTTGATTTAAGTCAAAAAAACTTTTTATTGAACCAAAATCACTGACTGGGAAAATTAAAAGAAAAAAAATCAAAAAAAGGGTAGAAACCTCATGAAGAGCAAACAAAGGAAGGATCTCCATTTTATAACATAGATGCTGCTGTTTAATAACACCATCTATTCCAGAGGTGTAAATGACAGATATAATCACAAAAATATCTGTTCAGACAAACTGGAACATATTTTCTATGTGTGACCATCTTTTGAGCACATTTTCTATGCTCTGTCATCTCTGCCAAGGTCAAGATTTGGTTCCAGAATCGGAGGATGAAGTGGAAACGCAGTCGGAAGGCAAAAGAGCAGGCCACCGCCTCAGGCCAGTCTGAGGGGGAGCGACTACGCAGCGGAGGAAAGACAGCCACCAACAAATCTGATGAGAACAAACGAGCTGTGTCTTCAAATGACAGAGGAATAGATCTTGACTTGGAGGATGGTGAAGAAGAGGAAGAGGAGGAGGAGGAAGAAGAAGAGGAGGAAGCACAGCATGGTTTTCCTGTTGCTATGGCTAACGGTGTTGGGATGCCACAATCCACAGACTTCTTGAAGCGTGGCACCAGCATTGGCTACAATCCCCACAGCCCTTTCTCTGATGACGAGCTGGAGGGGGTGCAAGCAGGAGGAGGTGACAGGAAGATTGGGGCAGGACTGTGAAAAGACACCCGGGAAACACTGGTTTGCTTTCCTGAGTGTTACAGAGACATTACAGTGGGGCATGTCTGTGTTTGTGGTCACCAGAAAGGACCGTTTCCAAGCATAAAGATCTTTTCTGATGTGTTCTGTGAATGTACTACAATTAGACAGCTACCAAACACATACACACAGGTTTATGAGACAAATATACTGTAAAAAGCATCTGTGTACAAAATCATCTCTGAGTACTGTAAATTTTGTAGCATGCTGAAAACATTTGCACCCTGAATTTGTTGTCACGAGTTTCTGCCTCTCACCTTCTGGTCACCTTTTCTTTGTTCCATCCAATGACAGCTTGAGCTTCACCAAGTGAAGACACATTGCTGCAAGAAATGGAAGTAAGATAAGTGAACTGTCGTACATTCAGATAGTGGGAGAGTGTAGCTGAAGCCTTCATTGTCACGGGGACAATAAAATTCAAATAAGCTGTGTGGTGTTGTGATCACAGGACTACAAGCTTGGAAACGTCTGCTGCTGTGGATGTTTTCATTTGTTTGTTTTTTATGATGTTTATGAATTTATTCTTGTCACTTATATGTAAATGGATTTAATTTATTTGAATGATTGCAAGGATGAATCATACATGTATTTAACTGAAACTTGTTTGTGGTGTAACTGTGAAATAAAAAAGCACTAGAATTACCAGTGTGTGGATGTATGTCTCCGCCAACCAGTCAAATTCACTGGTATGGGACGGAAGTGAGGCCACTGGCCTTGACCTTTGACCACCAAAATCAGTTCATCTTTGAGGCCAATTTGAAGAAATTACCTTAAGGTGTTCCTGAGATGTCATGGTCATAAGAATGATACCAGTGCGAAGTCACAGTGACCTTTGACTTTTAACCACCAAAATCAGTTCATCTTTGAGTCCAAGTGGACACTAGGGCCAGATTTGAAGAAATTCCCTCAAGGTGTTTCTGACATATCGGCTGGCCAGACATACAGACGTACGCATGCGCAGACTGACAGACAACCTGAAAACATAATGGCTCCGGCCACAGCTATCGCTGGCACAGAGACATGAAAAGAGACAGCAGAAAAGAAAAAAAAGAAGAACTGAAAAATAAAGACATTTTTGATCCGCTCAAATGTCAATACATCTTTTTAAAAATGTGATTAACCAAAAATGTATACACTCAGTTAGCAGTTTAATATTAGGTACATCTACAACCATAAATCAGAAAAGGCTGGAATTGTATGTAAAATCAAAATAGTGATTTGTAAATCATCTGTGTGTCAGATATAAATGGCACTTTTAGTTTAGACTGTGTGGCAAGAAGCAGTATCATTCTCAAAAACAATATATAGCTGAGAAGCCCCTCAAGGTTATCAAGAATAGTCACTTTTAATAAATAATTAAGTAAATTTAAGAAGAGTGATGATGAAAAAAATGGTAGTTCAGCTTCTGAAATGTGAATGTGTGGTAGTTTAATAATGAAAATAAGTTTCAGCCTTGCAGTTCTCCTACAATATGATGGAATAACACCACCTTGGCTGAGATTTTTCTATGTTAATAAACAAGAGAAAAATAAACTAAAATAAATAAAGCATTTTGATACAAAACTTTACAATAAATAAACACAATATAAACAAAAACAATTAAGTTCTTCAATTCACACAGGGTTACACATCAGGACCAGGGCCATAAGATGGATTGCCTGTTATAGCTGATATTCTAATCTGGGGGAGGACGTTTTAACAAATACATGCTTATTTAAATTACACAGAAATCTTATGGAATCAACCCGAGAGCTGGGGCCCTTGGGCCCTTGGGCAGTTGCAAACCCATACAGCAGCATCAAATAACCAAAGCAGTGCTACCGGTTACATGTTTAACTTGAAAGACTTGTAAAGAGTTTTTATTGAACCTTTTAGACTTGATTTAATAGTGGAGGCTAGAATACATTACAAGCATGCAGACGGAACCTCTATTAAACTGCAGCTTTTAATTTGGCTGATGAAAAATCATGCGAATCAATAGGAGCTCATTTAGCTGTGTGACTTGTCAGCTCTATGACAAACACCATTTGGCCTGTTTTATGACACAGGCCCCTGTGACACAATACAAAAATCATGGCTAATTGATAAGTCAGCGGAACAATATATGGAGGCCATTGATTTGGTTTCTCTTCTAATTTAATCTGAATACACCAGTCCTGTTGATTAAATATTCCTCACGTAAATTACAGTTACTGCTGATAATGCTGTCAGATTTTTCAACAGCCGGTCCCACAAAAGTGCTGACGGCCTTCTACCTCTTTACTTTTTTAACCAATAATGCATAGTGAGTCTGTGTCTTTCTATAAAAAATGGTTCAGTGTCTGTTGAATCACTCAAGTCACCCCTGAGATATCAGTTAAGTCCTCAAACACAGAGTGGCTTCCAGAAACCCCCAATTTCATAGTTAGACAAATAAATAGGGCTCTTTTTGTTTTGTTGGGTTATAAATCAAGGGCCTCAAATATTTACACCCTTTAATCAATCAGCAAAATGTCAGGCTCATTACATAAGCATGAACACATTGTGCATCTTTTAATGTAATCACGTGTATTGGCGTGGGTTTCCTGGGCCCTGTCTTGTCATTTAACTAATGGGCCAGTAAGGGAGTGAGTGACAGCGTCCAATAAATTCACATCTCTCTGACTTAAAACGCTGATCTAAAGCATGTAAAGGGACTGTTTCTTCCAATAAAGTTTATTGAAAAGGCGTGGCTAGGAGATTGTATTCCTGAGCATCATTTATTGTTGCAGGAAATGCGTCTCACAGGTGTTTTACCAGTGCAACCTTCAGTTTATACTGATCAGCAAACAGATGTATCATGCATCAAACAAAAGAAAGTGCTAACAGGTTTTAAAATTTTAGACTAAGTCAGAGGTTTTATTTGTCTGGAGCTGTTTGACAGTGACACGTAGGAGCACCACAGAGCAGCCGATTTTCAGACAGTCATTTCAAAAGTAAAACATGCACTGAGATCAGTAATTATGAATAAAACAGTATCAAAAACAAGTTGAGCAGTGACATACACAGCTCTCCACACTGTTTCCAGTTGACCTACTGTCATTGTTGTTTGTCATGTCATGCTTTGGGCTGTGAGAAGAAAACAATGCAGCAAAAATATACAACTGTTGTTGCACAAAAATCACCAGAAACATTCTGGGACAAGGAAACATACAGACACTTGCTGAACAAGGTCCATGTCCGCCCTCTTGTGGCATAACAAAAGACACTTCACTTAAGATTTTTTTTTTTTTTTAGCAGTAATGGGCTTAGGATACAGAAGAAAGAGACGAATGCTTGTGATTAGATTACTGAATAACCAATGGACTACAAGCAATGCGGCTTTTACGTTTTGTCACTGTGGGGTCATTTTGATGTAGTTCTGGGTCATTTACTTTTCTTTACAGCTGTTCTGTTTTTTCGTATTATGTTCCTTTGTGCAACTAAGTGGAAGAAGAAATACTCAGATTCTTTACTTAGGTAAATGTAGCAATACCACAGTGTAAAAATTCTGTTACAAGTAAAAGTCCTGCATAAAAATGTTATTTAAGTGAAAGTACAAAAGTATTAGCATCAAAATATACTTAAAGTAGGCTATCAAGGCTGCTGCAAAAGAACTACTGACTGTACACGGTTTTGAGTCACAGCTTATTGGCTGTACCGTTTAGATTTATCCTAATTACGTTAATCAAGTTCTTATTCTATTCTATTTTTAATTCTACCTTGTTCTACTTTAGTTCCTAAATGTTATGGCACCCAGTACTAGGTGAGAGAGAAACAGTATTTCGATTTTTGTATGTCCTGCACATATGGTGAATTGACAATAAAATCCTTGAACCTTGAAGAGTAACGCAGAACAGCTACATGAATGTATATTATTAGATTATAATTATTGATGCATTATTGTGCACATTATATTTAGTATTGCAGCTGGTAAAGTTAGAGCTATTTTAGGTATATGCTTATAATTTGAATGACTTTACATACAGCTGAGTAGCTTTTTAATTTCCCACTGGGAATCAACAAAGTCTTATGGTTATAGTGTATGTTGTTATGGTTATAGTGTTGTATTATTAATCTGATTATGAAAAGTAACAAAAAATGTAGTGGAATAAAAAAAAAGTACAATATTTGACTCTGAAATGTAGTGAAGTCCAAATATGAAGTAGCAGAAAATGCTGAAGTAAAGTAGAGATACCTCATGGTTGTAGCCTACTAAGTACAGTAGGCTACTTGAGTAAATGTACTTAATTACTTTCCTCCACTGTTACTTTAGGTTTTGTGTCTCTTTGTGGTCATTTTGTGTTTGTCCCCTGTAGTTTTGCATTTCTTTGTAGCCGTTTGACTGACTTTTTAATAAGAAATGTCTCTTCTAAAGTATGCGGTTCGTTCAGTAATCCATCCATGCGCGCAGACGCCGCTTGACCGACATGAAAATGCGCATTTTCTGCGGCGCGTGGTTCTTTTGGGTGCGTTTGTGTATCCGGGGCGGGCCGACGTCAGCATGCGGAGCGGATGATGATGATGAAGCATTGAAAAGTGTGCAGGCTTGTGTCAGATCCCGCCCTATTGTTCCGCGGTGCGCGCAAGGTAAGCTGTGTGATACCTGAGCAAAACCACACCTGACGTCCAGACACACCGTCGACTGACACTGACTGAGAGCATGGCGTCCTTGGAGCTTGGTAAGAGGGTTTTCTTGTAGAGTTCATTAATTCCCCGTCTTTTTGAAAAAAGTTTTCTGCTAGTTCCCTGGCTAACATTAGCCGACGCCGTCAGCTTTACCTCGCTAAAACACACGTTTACTTCTCTTTTGTGCCTGTAAAAGCCAGTGAAGATGCTTAAGTTTCCTCCGTGTCTGTCTTCGCAGCACTTTTAAGTGTCTCAGACAAAAGCGGACTGCTGGACTTCGCCAAGAGGCTGATAGATGTTGGCTTGTCTCTGGTGGCCTCAGGTGGCACTGCCAAAGCCCTGCGCGATGCGGGACTGGCTGTCAGGTGGGTGTCAGCGGGCCTGAGTTACAATACAAGTTCAACTTTAGACAGTTTGTGCTCCTCACGCTCATTAGTAGCTGTGTCTCTGCTTTGTGCCAGGGATGTGTCTGAGCTGACAGGACACCCAGAGATGCTGGGAGGCAGAGTGAAGACCCTGCACCCTGCTGTCCACGGAGGCATCCTGGCCAGGAAAACCCCCGCTGACACCGCAGACATGGAGAAGCTGGGCTACAGCCTTGTCAGGTGAGAGAAGCAGATTACTGGAACAAAATCTAAAACATGTTAACACACAAACTCATGTTGAAACATGTTGTGCAATACTGTCTGTATTTACTTACAATAGAGAGGGGGAAACTAAACTAAAAGTAACCAAAGTACATGCAGAGCTGTGGCCTTCAGGCAGATCACAAGCTGGGGATCACATGTAGTTCATTTAGTAGCAGGTTAACTAGAAAACCTCTGTTGGCTCGTCCTGTGACTCCCTTTTGTTTAGACTTAGGAGAATGTGATAAGACACAGATTTCAGTGTTGTCACTGGAGAACTAAACAACATGCATTTGATTTTCATTTGATCCAAGAATCAGTTTGTTTCATTATTTTAAAGTTTTGGGTGCATGTAATAAAAAGGTAGCGCTTGAATGAGTCAACAGGGAAGAATGCACTTTTACCTAAAGCTGGTCTACAATTGAAATTTTCACTTGCTTTCAAGGTTAAAAAATGTTTCATTATTTTTCAGTCACACTGAATATTTTCATGCTTCAGCAGTTAGAATTAAAGGAGACATGAGTTTTATTATCAAGACATTTGCTAGAGCTGTGATGTCAGAGGATGTACACAAAGAGTGTTAATTTTGTGCTGTTTGCCTGTTTGCAGGCAAAAGAGGGGGTTGGAGGGCTATGAGTGTCATATACTGTATATAAAAAGAAGGGTGACAAATGAAAGGGGGAAAAAGCAGAATATAGTGTCTCAGTAAGGTCATTCAGTGCACCTTCCAAAAGATATTCCCAAATGTGGCCTTTAGAGAAGTATAAACAACATGGTTTGTTTGCTCTTTTCAAGAGTGGTGGTGTGCAACCTCTACCCATTTGTGAAGACTGTCTCTAACCCGAGTGTTAAAGTGGAGGATGCTGTAGAACAGATTGATATTGGTAAGTCGAATTGGAGCTTTAGACATGAAAAAGGATGATAATGCGAATAAATGTATTATAATATGTGGTTGCATTAGAAGGTACCGGGTGGGTTTTGTCTGTAGAATCATGGTCATGTTTATTGGCCACATCCGTTTAAATACACAAGGAAATGGACTCCAGAACAGAGATCCTCAGTGTGCTTTTATAAGCAACAAGAAAATGTGACAATGTGTGCATCTAAAATAGGAAAGACAATAGGAGGAAAATGTAGAAATATATACACACACACATACAGTTGAGCTTTCAGGTTGTTATGTACAGTAGTTGTATTTAGTTTTTTAAAGCGCTTTTTCTTCCCAGGTGGTGTAACTCTGCTGAGAGCAGCAGCTAAGAATCATGCTCGAGTCACTATTGTGTGTGACCCTGCTGACTATTCACTGGTTGCCAAGGAGATGGAGAGTTCAGAAGATAAAGACACGACTCTGGAAACTCGCCGGACTCTGGCCCTTAAGGTAAGTTTGTTTACTCCACATTCAACTTGCAAGTATGTGAACTGAATTTGTACTTGCACTCTGAATTGCATGTATCGTCTTACTCAAGTGTATTTTGTGTTCTTTTGCTTTTCAGGCCTTCACACACACAGCACAGTATGATGAGGCCATATCGGACTACTTTCGTGGACAGTACAGCCGTGGCATTTCCCAGCTGCCTCTGCGTTATGGCATGAACCCCCACCAAGCCCCCGCCCAGCTCTACACCCTACGCTCAGCCCTCCCACTCAAAGGTAGATGACTGTCGCAACTGACCTAAATGTGTCAGTGTTGGCTTTATTTAATGATGTGTCTTTAAAAGATTGGTTTAACAGTTTGGAAATGCAGTTACTTGGTTACTGGCAGAGAGTTGGATGAGAAGATTAATGCTGCTCTCACATGGGTCACTTAAATATAAAGTGGCAGCTCTTTAACTTGGCTTTGTGCTGGGACTGGGGACTCTATCCAAAGATTTGAGTAAATCACTTGGTGCCTTTTTATGAAGTAGTTGTTTTTTTTTTGGTTTTATTTATTTATTTTTTACCTCTAGTACTTTTCTTCCTACACACCTGTTGCTTCACAAACATTACTGCTTCTAGGAAACAGCAAAATAAATAAAACTCTGGGAGATGCATTCTTGTGTGAAGTGATGAGATTGAGATACATTAGGCAATCTGAAAGTTGTTTCTGATTTTCATTGAAATGTAGACGGCTACAAATAATCTCTCCTGAAGTGTCATTATTTATAGTGTTTGCTTCTCAGTGATCAACGGCTCCCCTGGGTTCATCAACCTGTGCGATGCTCTGAACGCCTGGCAGCTGGTCAGAGAGTTAAAAAGTGCTCTCGGCATGGCCGCTGCCACCTCCTTCAAACATGTCAGCCCTGCTGGTAAGATGGAAAGAGACGTGCACTAAAGTGTGTCTGTGTGGACTTGAAGATAAATGACTCTTTGCACCTTTCTTCTGAAGGAGCTGCTGTTGGAGTTCCTCTGACTGAGGACGAAGCCAAAGTATGCATGGTGCATGACATGCTGAAGGATCTTACCCCTTTGGCCACAGCCTACGCCAGGGCAAGAGGTCAAACACGATAAATCATATAGCGGATAAAATGGACCACTTCATCTCTTTACAAAGAACTGTACTGACTCTTTCTACGTCCACAGGCTCAGATAGAATGTCTTCTTTTGGAGACTTCATTGCTGTGTCAGATGTGTGTGACGTTCCCACTGCCAAGATTATATCACGAGAGGTGAGGTCGTGCCAAAGAATAAATACAGATTTTCAATAAGTTTTCGTTTTGTTTAACCATGATTTCATTGGATTGCTCTTAGGTGTCGGATGGTATCATTGCTCCCGGTTATGACGAGGAGGCACTGAAGATCCTCTCCAAGAAGAAGAATGGCAACTACTGTGTACTACAGGTGGGAGATGATTATCAGTCATAATGTCTGTATTTAAATAAGGATGATCAGAGTTAAACTTAATATTTTGATTTTCTGTTGTTGAACATGTGCGCCTTTGTCCCAGATGGACCCAGACTATGAGCCTGACGAGGTGGAGGTGAGAGTGTTGTTTGGTCTCTATCTCAAACAAAAGAGGAATGGAGCACTTATCAGTAAGGACTTCTTCAGCAATGTTGTTTCCAAGGGCTCGGTGAGTCACCGTAGTGTCCTTATGTTCATATTGCATTTTGAGCTCATCCTACTTTGTTATTTTAACCCTTTTATGCATGGTGGCCACATTTGTGGGGAGTTTAACTCCATTTTGGGCTAGATCATTATGATAAAGTGCTCCACACCAGTTTGGAGCAGTATCAGTGTTGCTATCAGTATTAGTGTGCACAGGAAACTGTGCTGAACATTTTTGTACTTTGTAAAACTAGATTTAAGAGTAAAATGTAGTCTTTATACCTCAAACTACTGTACGTGTATGTGGACGTCATGCAACAGAGGCCTGGGATTACAAGTCTCATTTGTGTAACCTACTATTATCTATTGCATTTATTCAAAGATGTCTAATGTTATTTTCCTGTTATTAAACACCTTGTATTAAAAATAAATAAACTCTGCTTATATAAAGAACATAACCTAAAAAAAGATGCATTCCTGATTGTTAGCTGTGGCTTTATACCCATTTTTATTCCTTTGTTGCATGGTATCCAAACAAAATTTTGGAGAAAACTCAAATGGATTTCAATTTTAGCAGTTTTGAATAATAAAAATAGAGGTGCTCTGATGGCTGTTTTCTTGGCAGATTCAGATTTTTCTTTTTAAGAACTGTAATTCACAGCATACAGACATTTTTGTAACTTTTCTTTAATGAAAATTTAAAATGTAATAAATAAGGCCTTTTTTTTTTCTCTTTTTTTTTTTTTTGTTCGGGCATGCTGCACATGCTATGGTTTCGGTGCTATTTGTTTGTGCCACTGCGTACATGACATGAAGTGTCATGTCTCTAAATTGACAAATCAGCACAGAATAAGAAATCTTGGAGTGATCTGCTTGTCAACCGGTCAAGGCTGATCACACTGAAAACTGGCTGTTTCTGATTGATCAGCGCACTTCTAAATAAAAACATTGTTAAAAAAAATCTTAATCACTTTTTTCATAATTCGTGCTTAAATATTAGTTTCATTGACAACACTGTCTAAATGACAACTGTTCACCCTTGGATTTGTTTTGTCCTCCAGCTCTCCGAGGAAGCTGTGCGTGACCTCACTGTGGCCACCATCGCCGTAAAGTACACGCAGTCCAACTCTGTCTGCTACGTTAAAGATGGACAGGTAAGAACAGGCAGATAAAAAGGATGAGACAGGAATCTGGATGAGACAAGTTGTCCTTGACTATTTTCTCCCATTTGCGTTTTACAGGTTATTGGCATTGGAGCAGGTCAGCAATCCCGTATTCACTGTACACGGCTGGCAGGCGACAAAGCTGATAACTGGTGGCTGAGGCACCACCCTCGTGTCCTGAACATGAAGTTTCGCAGTGGTGTGAAACGAGCGGAGATGGCCAACGCGATTGACCAGTATGTCAGCAACACCATTGGAGAGGTAAAGGAGTATCAACACTGTTGTTACATTGTATAGAATTGTCCTTCTAAAAAAACATTTTTTTAAAAATCAGCTGTTATACTTTTTCTCACTGGTCTTCAGTGTAATTGCACTTATCTGAAATGCATCCCGAAAGCAACAAACAAGAGACTAAAGTCGGTGGCTACCCTGTTGACTATCAGTGGTCTTTGTCACAGAACATGACACAAACCCTCGACTGATGCTTTGCCAAATTATTTGTCCAGTTTTTTTGTGACACATGAATCAAACTTCACATTTTCTATCAACGAACATAATTGTTGTCAGTGTAGCACATTTAATTATGCTGTGTTCTAGCCAAAATTAAAAAAAAAAAATCTTATCTAACCTCTAGAGGAATTATTAATTATGTACAAACAGTCAGTTCTCAAACAGTCTCAGGTGCATTTGGGATTGAGACATAAATACAATACAATGCACTGTATGACCAGAAGTACATTATTTTTGTGCATTAGATCAACAGATTCAGACAGTGTTTTATAAAATCAATTAAGTAGTGTATTATTTTAAGCATCTATGTATCTGATCATTCCTATCATGTAGCTGGCCTACATGAAACAGAGCTTTAGTCAAGTTAGTTCCTTTGGCTAACTTGGTTACAATGGTTGCCTCAGTACTCACATGCTCCACTGTCTGTACTGTGGTGTCTGATGTTCAGTGCCGTGTCTTAGCACAAAGTAGTCCAAGTTGGCAACTTTAAAAAGAAATGAAAAGTCCTGTATTGTGTGTGTGTGTGTGTGTGTGTGTGTGTTGACAGGGCCCAGACTTGGCAGTTTGGAAGGCCATGTATGAAGAGGTGCCTGAGCCTCTGTCAGAGACGGAGAAGAAGAACTGGATCAGCTTGCTGCAGGCTGTGGCCGTCAGCTCGGACGCCTTCTTCCCCTTCAGAGATAACATAGATCGTGCCAAACGGGTAAATGTCACACACCTTTCACAATAGCGTATGTTCATACTAGGGAGGCACACCCTTAACTGTTTAACCGTTAACAGACAATAAGAAGTCATCTGATTAATACTGTCAGTTAAAGGGGGGGGGGAGGAGGAACTAAACATAAGCTATAGGGCACATGGTGTAAAGCTACTCAGACATGTTGGTCACTAGTCAGGCGCTGTCTTTGCATTCCTGGGACATCGGTACCATTGGACCAGGTATTTTCTACTGTGAGTGTCACAGGAATTGGACCAACCCCACAGCATGTTACTGTTTCTGAACAAAAACCAGTAGGCTGTAAGTTTGTTTTGTTAACCTGTTGGGCGTTTTGATTATTGAGCCAAGAGTGGAGGAGGGGATTTTTGGAGATTTCGGGGTCTGTTTCCATTAGTCTCCCTTCTTAAAGAAGGGCCAGTACACATGGGTACACAGTACCAGCACTTCTGAATTTTACTCTTTGGTGCAATGTCACTTTTGCATCTTGTCTGGACAGCGGACGACTTCAGATGACAGGAGTAGGGGACAGTGACAAAGAGCTCCACCAAAAGAACTGTGCTCCCCCGGAAGCCAAAAAAAATCCCAAGTTTAGGTGGTCCCAAATAATCACCAGCAGTAAATGAGCATTGGTTATCAGGGGGAAGAAAACCAAAACTTTGTGTACATCCCTAGTTTATACTGTATGAACATTGTTGAACGATTTCATGAGAATGACCTACAAACACCTGTTGGTGCCTTGTATCTGTATGTACAAGGATGACAACAGAAAACAGTAACTAGAATTACCACTTTGCGGTTGTATGCCTCCGCCAACAAGTCAAATTCATGGGTATGGGACAGAAATGAAATCACTGACCTTGACCTTTGACCACCAAAATCTACACAGGTCATCTTTGAGTCCAAGGGGACATTTGTGCCAAATTTTAAGAAATTCCCTGAAGGCGTCTCCTGACATATTGAGCTCACAACAATGGCCTGAAAACATAATGCCTACAGCTGTGGCTGTCACCGGTACTGAAGCATTAAAAACTGTGCACTGACGTGTTTCCCAACTATCTCTACTAACGTTTCTCCCTCTGTTTGTGTGTGTGTAGAGTGGTGTTCAGTACATCGCAGCTCCGGGAGGCTCTGCTGCCGACGAGGTCGTTATTAATGCCTGTAACGAACAGGGCATCACTCTGGTGCACACGAGCCTGCGGCTCTTCCACCACTGAGAACCTCGGCGTGTTTCCAGGTGCTGTTGAACTCAGCTCAGTTTTGTATCCTTAGACATCTTTGTCTAACATTGCTGTCACTCAAAACATTCCTACCCTCCAGTGTGCAGCTCATAAATGCAATGTTTTGTAATGCACTTGTGAGCTTAACATTAGAGTGATACTGTAACTGTTTAATGTCCTTTGTTGGCCAGTGTGAAATAAACTGTAAATTACAGTTCCTCAGTATTTTGTGTTTTGTTTTTAGCCACATTAGCGGTGTGACTTTATCCTCCTGATTTTGGGAATTCAGTGAAATATTACTGAATTCACTTCTTGATCATTTTCTGTTTGCTGTGAGCAGTCATTCTTCTTTAATCACTTTGTTGATGCCCTGACTTTTAGCTAACACCATCAGGTCATTACTCCAGTTCCTCTGCTGTACCTGGTTTTTAGTGCTGCTTAACAAATGCTAGCATGTTAACACACCTCAGACCGTGAACATCACGGTTGGTGCCCCACTCTCTGCCCTCTGGGCATGGTAAGTCGTCTTTGAGCTTTTCTTATACACATACAAAGAAAACTTGAAGCTACATCATTAAACCTCTTTACAAAAACAAGTAAATTTAACCTTGTGGTTAGATTTCAGGATCTCTCCAGCTTTATTAAAATAAGGGACTTTTTTGTCAAAGGTAGAAACAACTTTGGTACAGACAACAATGTACAAAAATAGTTCAAATTCTGACCTCCCAGTTCAAACATTCACACTGAGACTAAAGAGATAAATTAGAAAAGACATTAGAATTCAGAATGTGTCCATCAATACAGTGTGACCCCTCAGTAACAAAAGGAGGGCTACAGAAAATAGAAGCACATTTTCAACAATACTGTTAACTACATAGACATTCTTTAACACAGTGCTTACTTTCTGACAGTTTCTGCTCTTTGATTAGGAAATGTTTCTCAATATTTAATGGGGAAACAAATGCCACTTTGACAAATATGCTAGACAAAAGAAAACTGCACTGGCAAGAGTCTTCATTTTCCAACAGAGAAGGAATTTAGAAATTTAACAGTGAAAAGACTAGAAAATGATTAGGCAGCAGGGCAGTGTAACTAAAACATGTCAGAAAGTGATAAGGCAGTTAGTTCAGTCACAGACAGCGGGGCTTCTACGGGGCGAGAGTGCAGCAATTGGCTGGACAATGAGGGAGCAAAGCAGATGTCAGACAGCTGCTCCTTTTATTCCCGTGGAGCGTGTGCATCAGCAAGCAGGTCGGGTCGGAGGCACTCGATGGGGCAATGGACATTCTGGAGGAACATTTGAAGAGAGAGGATTACATTCCTAGGTTCAAACAATCCCGTGTTCCCATTAGATCTGATCACACACTCTTTATGAAATTTTATATGTATACAAGAGGGATGGGATATTCAATGGTAACTAATCGAAGATCACGGATCCCCCATTGTCATGAGCTCATGTTGTTACTTTACCTAGAGTACCAATATTTCGCTGCAGTGTAAAGAGCATTGCCAGGTTTATGGCTTTATATCGCTACCGGCACGGCTTTAGTCTTAGGAACAACACTATTTTCCAGTTGCTCTTTGTTTTTAAAGACAAAACTGTAGTCGAATGAAATTTGCCTTTACTCACAATTTAATGTTGGTCAGTTTGATTCCTGGATTATTTTATTTATCTGTGCCATAAACCTCCATTGATGTACAAAAGCAAATTAGGGAAATAAACTGCTGCACTTTTGATTGACATGTTTATACATTAAAAAAGATCCTGATATATTTTTAAAATGATGTTCCAATCAGCCATAACATTTTACAGCATCTGAAGTAAGCAAGACTCAAGTGGCCATGCACAAAACCTCTGTATATTAATAGATATTAGGGTCTGGTTGTTCATAACAAGGAAAGACACTGACTGGCCATTTTTATTAGGTACACCTGTACAATTGTATGTAATACTTCTGCCTTAACATCTGTGTTTATGAAGCTCAAAATATTTGTTTTTGGTGAAGTTGTCAAATGTATACATTCAATTATATGTTTGTTATTGAGGTCATAGTTAAAGATGGTGTACTAGACTACATTATATTTAGAGGTATCTATAGTTTTGTCCTCCACAGCTATACACATGAAAGGGTCAAGATATTAGGAACACCTCTGAATATAATGTAGTCCAGTACAACACCAGTTTTATCTATGACCTCAGTAATACACGTATAATTGACTTGTACATTTATGATTTTACCAAAAACTTTTGAGCTTCATAAACAGATGTTAAGGTGAAAGTGTTGCATTGAAGTACATACAGGTGAACCTAATAACGTGTCTGGTGAGTGTAGGTCAACCAGTGCAGCAGTGTCTCTCCCTGATGTGGTTTTGTTTCTGAACATCAAGAGGTCTAATGCACAGACGAACAAATACATTAATCAGGAGTAGAGGCAAGTTATTGCTGGTTTTAGTCTCTGTACGGGGAGTACTTGAAAATGCTGTTAATGCAGAAAGTTACCAGCCCTAATCTTTAATCAAAAACAAACAGCCAAAAACATGTATCTAAAAGGCCTACAAACAGTATAAAACAAATCCAGTTGTAATTTATAAATACAATTTTATTAATTCAACTCACCAATTTGCGTAGTGTGTTGTCTCCATATCTAACCGTGTGCAACAGACTGGCATCGACATCAGCACCTGGTCTGCGGCAGTTCTCGCATCGCCAGCCCTGATGAGATGAGTGTAATCATATACCTAAATGGCTTTGTTTCACTCAGAATGACCACAAGACAGCTTAACTTTCACGCTGAACATCAAACCTAAACCTAGGGAGGCTCATGTACCATACCTGTTGTCCTCCAAAGCACGTGCAGGTGCAGATGGCGCCTAGGTACTCCTTCTCCCACCGGTTTCCCACCTGGTATGTTTTGCCATCATCATAGCACATTGATTCATCTGTGCGGGTATAAATGCACATCAGCTGCAATTCATCCACACTATTCTGGGACAATCACAGAGCATTTCAGTGAGTAGTAAGAGCCCTTACGTGGTTGACATTTGAACTCTCCTCTGCCATTTCCCAAGCAAGTACAGCTCATTAAGTGACCATTCTCTGCACGGCGGTCCCACTTCTCTCCAATGCGATAGTTGTTGCCATTGTCATGGCACCATTCTAATCATGGACAAAATAACAGTAAGTGAAATATGCTGAAATTGTAAATATGCTTATGTACTCGAGGGCAAAATATAAAAAAAAAAAACCGACATACTAGATGAATCACATCTGAAGTGACCACTGCCCAGGCCCAGGCACCTGCACCACAGCTTGAAACCTGTCTCGGACATCCGCTCCCATTCAGCACCGACATCATGGTAGGTTGCCGTGAAGGCATCGTAACACGAGTCCTTATCAGAAGGTGCTCCCTCTGGGGGAATGTGAGATGCTAGTTAATTGAAGATAAACCATTAGCCAAAATAACAGCTGTCCCTTTTTGAATAGTATTATAGAAATATTGTTTTGAAATGTTCACTATACTAAATTAATGAAGATTACATGTAAACATGGAGAAGGTTCTGCAGTTGCATTAACCAGGGAACATTAGGAATAAGAGTCTGCTGCTAATGTAAAAAAAAAGCCCTGATTTTCTCTGCCACCATGCTAAATAAAGACCCTGTCCAATTTGAGCATTTTAAAATATCTACTAAACTATAGGATCTGGTCTGAGACTAGTAGAGGGACCTGCTGCTTCCTTTAACTGCCAGCAGGAAATAAAAAAAAAAAAGTACCTAACAAATGTGGAGGTTTAAGTCCACTTCAGATACATAACACTGGGTAATTAGTAGGAGTCTGGCGTAGTTTGGCCTAGCTTAGACACAGCAGATGCCCTGGAATGTTTACCTGTGGTCCCAGCAGTGATGACCTGCTCCAGAACCTTGTGTCTGAGCATTCCCAAAACAGCCTCCACGATCACGTTGTAGTTCGCTCCGGGGGTGAGCCCTATCAGGGTAGCAGTGGTGGCTGTGCCTGGTAGGCTTACCTGGATGAAAAGAGAGAGATTAGGTTACAATTACATTCACACTGCATAATGTGCTTGGTTGGAAACCTTTGCATTGTTTTCTCACCTGGAACATCTTCTCATTTAAGTGTGTGAGAGGTTGGCAGGAAACTAGGTAGGAGGTGCTCTGACTGTAAGGCTTCCAGAAGAGGGTGGTGTGAGTTTGAGCCTCCTGGGGCACCCCCGTCTCGTTACTAACCGTAGAGCCGATGGGTACGTTGAGCTTCACAACAGGCTTTCTGTGACCGTCTGCATCAGGAAGGGGCACAAAGACCAGGGGCTCACGAACTTGCCCATAGGGAGACTGTGGGTTGCCACCATGACCATTGTATCTGTTGTCTCCATTGTTGTTGTTGTACTCTGTGTACTCCACATGTTGGCTATGACCACCAAGCCCATCCTCACGATTGGTGCCCACTACTTGGACCCTGTTATCCAAGTCAGTTTCAGGCACATCGAGCTTGTCATCAACAACTCCAGGGTGGTGGGGCAGAGGCAAGGGAAAAAAGGAGTCTGGTTCTGGCCGGGAGAGACGTGTTTAGGGAAGCAAGCAGGTTAGATGAGGGGGAGGTAAAGCAGAGCTGCTCTAACATACCTCAGCCAACAGGAGGTGACAGATCAGTAGCATTGTTGGGGTACTACTTCATGGCAAAGTGTGTTATAATGCAATATTACAAACACACAAGAAACACCTTGAATGGCTTTTCTAAAGGCATTCAAAATAAAAATAAAAAAGGTATTAATGTTTTAGGAGCCTACAGCTTATAGACTGCACATCTTATCTCAAGGCCTTAGAGCTGTTACAGCAAAATATTTAGTCCAGCTGAGCAGAATAGAGCTGCCATTCAACTCCTTACATTGTATGTTTACCCATAACACATTTGAAATATGGTACCTTTTTTGCATCACATGAATGCACCAATTTCACCATTACATTTGTCACAATATAGAGCAAGTCTCAAAATACTCACGAGTCCTGATCCTGCCCACCAGAGGAGTGCTCTTCTGTTGGTTCTGGATCGCAATGATCTTGATGATGTACTCTGTGGCTGGTCTCAGGTCTGAAGAGAATAATTATGAAGTGGAATCAGTAGGTTATGCTTGAGTTGTGATTACAAGTAAGAGAAAAAGAGAACCAGTTGGGCCAGTGTGACGCTTTGGAATTTTCAGATGTCTATAACCTTTTCACTCAAAATGGAAATTAAATGAGCTGCAGCCAAATACTTTCAGTGTCAATACTGCTTGTAGTGTAATGAGGCCAATTGACAAACACGTACCAGGTATTTTGGCGTAGTTTTGGCCAGCATGGGGTCGTGGGGTGAGCTCCCGTGGTGCTTTTCCTGATTCCTCATAGGTGATGTAGTACCCTGTGATGTGTGTGGCAGGTGGCTGCCAGGTGAAGGAGATGGAGGTCGGGGTCAAAGATGTGTACTGGAGATTGGTGGGAGCCTGGACCACTGGTTGAGCTATGAAGAAAAATATCATGTTAGAGCATCTTGTTTGCTTCCTGTCTGCATTGTAGGGTTATAGTGGTGATTTGTGTCTAAAACTACAGTAACATTTGTCGTTTGTTTGGTTTTTAAGATCTGACTTAAAAGAGGCGTACACTGATTTAGCTTTTCAGTCAGGCCTGCAATGGATAGTTAAAAAATTCAAAACTAATGCAGCAGAACCAGAAATTTTTGTTTTCTTGTCAAAACCTGGTGCCTGCCCACATTGCAACTCAACAGATGATAACTTATTCGGAGTCAGGTCTGTTATGCTAGTAGCAGCTAATGTAGCCTCAAGCATTTAGCTTCACCAGAGATAATAAGCTTTCAGCCCCAACCCATACTAACAGTGAAACAGAGAGATCAGACAGATCTGAATGGTACCTGTTTGAATGGAGAGAGTAAATGGGGCACTCCTTGTGTTGCCATTCAGAGTGTACAAGCTAACCGAGTACGAGGTGCTGGGTTGCAGTCCTTAGAAAAATAGAAAAAAAAAACAACAACGGTGAAGCAAAACTGAAATATCAAAATCACACTTCCAAAACTTTGATCTGTAAACCATTTCCACCTTTTTATACTGCAGGTCTGTTTAACAGGAAGGTGTGGTGTACCTGTGACAGTGTAGGTGTATGTGTCTCCTGGGATTGTCCTGCTAACAGTGGGGTGCGAGACACCAGAGGGCTTGGCCTCAATGAGGAAACCAGTGATGGGTTCTACTTTGGCACGCCACGTCAGTGTGAAAGAAGTATCCTTCACATCAGAAATTCGCACGCGCCGAGGAGGACCTAGCTCTGCAACAAGGAGGGAAAAAACAGGCATAAGACAGAGCTGTGGATAATAACTGCTGATAACTAGAAATATGTTCATGTATAGTCTAGTTACCTTCCAGTGTTGTAGTTTCTCCCTCCAGTGGTCTGCTGGTGACAGAGTTCTTCAGAGCGTACACACGTATTTGGTATGTGGTTGCCACCTAAAAGCCACAGACATAGAGTTGATATTTATTCAGTGAATGACTATGGATCTATGTAAATACTGGGGCATGAACAATATTTACCATGAGTTCTGGTACAACAACCCTTTTAGTGTCTGGAGCCACATTCATCTCTTTGGGGGGGGCATTGATGTTCTTGGGGGTGACTACTACACGATAGCCTGTCAGGTGTGCACTCGGGGCTCGCCATGACACAGTGAATGCAGCGGGACCAACCTCTGAGATCACCAAGTTGGTTGGAGCAGGGATTACTGAGACAGAGAGATGCAACAAAAACACATTTAGAATTTATAACATACAAAGTAAGTAATGAATGTGTTGATGTTTTTTGTGTGTTCATACCTGTGGCTTGTGTTCCCACCAACGGTGTGCTGGGTGTGCGGCCATGAAGAGCAATGACTGTAACTGTGTACTCTGTCCCAGGGCGAAGGCCTCTCAGCACCACACTGTCCTGGTCACCCCTGGGTGCTGGACGCAATTCCCTCTCACCCTCCTCTGAGCTGGAGTAAAGGACACGGTATGACGTCACTGTGCCGTCTGGACTGTCCCAAGTGATGCGCATGGAGGTGGACTCAATGTCAGAGAAGGTCAGGTCTTTGGGACGATCCATAGCTGCAGGAAAGGAGCATAATTTGTATATCATCTTTCTGGTCATATGTTGTTTTATGGCTTAAAAGTTTTGTTAGCAGGCCTGCTTGCTTCTGTTGTTTTTGTCAGACATTTGCCAGTTCAGCATTCTTCAATCACTGGACTAACCACCCAACCTAATGGTCATGCATCACCTCGTACAACAATGTATCTCTATGATCTCCCCTTTCATCACACCACTCTGCTGTCAAAGTGCTGTTTTTTCTATCAAGTCTTTGTCATGCCCATGTAAAAAGCCGCATACACATGGCTCCAGTAGAAACAAGCCTTTCTTGGACTAAACAGTCAAACTAACCAGTGATAGCATTCTCCACCACAGGGGAAGAGGGTTGTCCATCTCTGCCCAGGGTGTAGACACTCACAACATACTCAACAGTAGGCATCAGTCCTGTAAACGTCACCTCTGTCTGATCTGTAACAGAAGAGCAGAAAAAGAGCCAATGAGAAGACACTGTACTAGCAAAATAAAATAAATATGGCAGCCTGGTTACAGCTTCTTTTTTTTTATCCTGTCTTACCAGGGCCCACCACCTCAGAGTAGGAGGGTCCCAGGCCATTCTTGGGGATGCTTGTTATTCTGTAGCCTCTGACTGGTCCTTGAGCAGGAGACCATCGCACTGTGATGGCATTGTCATCCACATCAGTCAATCTCATGTCAGTAGGGGGCTCGAGATCTAAAGGAGGGATGGCCGCACAATGAACACAAGATTTCGTTTAACCCCTCAGCAATCAGATCCTTTTCAGGAACTAGTTTTCTTTTCACATTGCCGTACCAGTTTTGTGTGTGATGGAGATTGCCGAGCTGGAGGCAGGGCTGTCTCCTCGTCCAGTAACAGCACTGACAGTGATGGTATATTCAGTGTCGGGCTTCAAACCGTGAATGGTGGCGGTGGTCTGAGAGCCTGGGATTGAGACCTCTTGAGTCTCACCACCTACAAAGAGAGAGGCAAGAAGGGCCAAGCGTTAAAACTCAGAATAATGGCTGAGATTGAGAGGAAACTATGAGTTACAACACATGTACAAACCTGTCCCTCTGGATGTGATCTTGTAGTTCTTCACTGTGACAGAGGGGGCATCCCAGCGAATGGTGATGCTGGTGGGAGTGGATGATATTACCTCCAAATCAGTGGGAACATCAGAGACTGGAAAATATAACAACAGGGGAGGGGAAATGGGAGGAAAGGCATGCATTAGAATAAAAATTGCTATAAAAACATAATAATTATGATCACGATCCAGCTGAGAGATGTCACTTAGAAGAGAATACAGGAAGCTCATTGTAGAAGCCTGTACAGAAACTCACTGGTGGCCTGTGTGCCAGTCAGAGGCTGACTCTCATGACTGTTGCTGACAGCATACACATTTATCAGGTACTCTGTCTCTGGTGTCAGTCCAGTCAAAGTGAAGTGGTTCCTGGTTGGGGGCAGCCTCTCATCCTTGGCCCTCCCGCCACTCGTCTTCTGATAGCGGATGCGGTAGCTGGTAAAAGTAGCAGTTGGAGCCACCCAGTGAACAGTGAAGGAGTTGGTCCGAATGTCAGAGAAGTCCAAGCCAGTGGGAGAGTCCAGAGCTACAGGCAAAGATTATGGAGATTTAGAGAAATTGTAAATTACATACAATGATAATGGAAATGTAGAAGAAAAAAAAGGCAATACTAATGATCCATTCTAACAATCTGTGGATTGTTGACTTTTGACTTTTTTGTACTGGTGTCATATTTCACTGGCTCCTAAACCCTTTAAAACTATGGCAATATTTTTATAAGAGATTATTAAGGGACTACCAAAATAAATGCCAAAGTATGTGACGTGTGAACTACGGTAACATTAAGTCAAATATACAGTCTAAAATGTACAGTACATACAGTATAAGCCTACTTTTAAATATCAGGAATAAAATTACCTTTTTTCGCTGCACCACATTTGGGCATTTTCTGTGAAAGCTACATCTCAATGGAATTCCCTACCAGATGACAGAGTTGCAACTCTTTTAGAAGTTTTAAGGCTAAACTGAAAAATGTGCTAAAGGACAGTCATTCATGAAACCACTGATTGAGTTTTTTGGGGGGGGGCGTCTGTTTTGTTTCTGAATATGTTGATATATTATGTGTTGTTTAGTTTGTTTTGTCTTCTATTAGTTTTGTTTGATTATTGTGATTGTTTTTGATTATAACCTACCAAGAGACTGCAGATGAAATGTAGCTTTAGGCAAATATAAATATTGTTTATTAAAATAAACTAGCAACAAAAATTATTTTTTAAAGCTTTTATACATTTTATTCTCTTCAAAAGCAAAATTATATGTAAAGTATATGTTGCCTCATTTTTTAATTCAACATGTCCAATAAAAGATATGATAATAAAAATCTTGCAGCACCCTTCCACTGTGGAAACTACTGTCATACTCACTTGTCCTCTGAGTCCCTGTGGCTGGTTCACTTTCTCGTTCACCGTACACACACACAACACTGATATGATACTCGGTGTTCGGCAGCAGGTCTGTGCAGAAATTTGATACGTGTACAGTTACAATGCGTTGACATGGAGCAATACTAAGAGAAATATTAACTTTGCCTTTAAAGCCAACATTTTGTAAGGTACACTTAGACAATTTTTATGTTGTCTTACTCTGCAGCAGGAAAGTGTTGGTGGCTCCACCAACATTAACCTCCTTAATGTCATCATCGGTGGCTACAGGGTGGTAACGGATGACAAACCGCGAGATGTCGCTTGGTGTGGCAACGTGGGGGACTGTCCACATCACCCTAATATGATCAGGACCCACCCCTCCAAACTGCAGGTTGGTGGGAGCTGGAATGACTGAAAGAAAAGGGGGTTCAACATTATAGCTAACACAGAACAAAATAACAAAAACATCACTGATGTCATGATTTTCTAACATTCTTCTGTGTTCATTAATTCTATGAGATCAAAACCCAAGCCCCTCCCACTGAAGGAGTGAAAGAGTTAAATCACCAGCTTGTGTTTGCTTTGTGTATGTTGTCGGCTTGCTTTCTCCCTCTTCTGTAACAGTGATGATACTGATGTCATAGTCCACGCCTGGTTCCAAACCATGAATCGTGTAATAACCAGTAGATGCTTCCACAAGATCTTGAAAAATTGGCAAGCTCTCGCCTGATGCTACTACCGTTATCCGGTAACCAGTAATGGTAGTATAGTTCATAGGGATCCAGCGCAGCCTCATGGTGGTGTCAGTAATGTAGTCAAAGTCAATGTGACTTGGTGTGGGAATTTCTGAAAGGGTTAGGCCAGTTGCAAAGCGCAAGCACAATTAGACAAATAGATTTCAAAGCCATAATAATTACATTGGTTATATCAAAAACATAAATAAAGCATGCTAGACAGTGATCATTACAAATGATTGAATATACAGAGCTGAATTTATAATTAAAGCAGTGATTATATTAATGCTACTGTTTTGAGCATGCTACAAATACTATATTATTTCAACATTTCAATTAATAAACAGTCTCCATGCAAGGTAGGTTAGCCACCGATCATACAGTATTATTAATTATCCATTAATGCAGCTTTAAACAAAAAAGACTGGCATTCCAGCTTTGCTTTTTTAAAAGAAAACTTTGTTAATTTTAAAAACAATGTATTGTGCTTGTAGTATGTATGTTACAGCATGAAGAGGGTGGAGATAATGACAGGAAATGAAAATGACTGAAGTTTGACTTGGACCCAGATTATAATGGAAAATGCATCTCTGCCTCTTCATTTAACAGATAATGGTATTTTTATGTGAACGCCTACCTGGCGTGACAACAGTGGATACAGGGACACTTTCCACATGCCCCTTAGTAGTGAAGACACTGATGTTGTACTCCATTCCCAGATTCAGGTTCTCTAGGACGCAGGAGGTTTGATCAGGTCGGACAAACTCTTCCAGGGAGTTTCCTCGTTGACCATTAGTTGGCGCGCTTGTCACCCTGTAGCCTGAAATGTCTGCAAGTGGGAAAGAAGGGAATGATAAATGGAGGAGAGAGAGTATAAAGTCTAGAGGTTTTTGCGACATACGTATGAATCACTACGAGAAATGAAAAGGAAATACCGCAAAGAGAGACTTGTCCAGGTGAAAAAAAAAAAAAAAGCCAAGGTCTAGACTTGGCATGATTCAATGGACTGTCAGTGTGTGAGAAGCACAGTCAATATTTACCTGGTGTTTTGGATGCTACCCAGTGGACAGTGAGATCTCCTGTGTTGGGGTTGGACTCCACTCTGAGGTCAGTGGGAGGTAACAGGGCTGCAAGGAAAGAAAAATTTGATTTGATGCAGCAGTAACTTCTTACACCAACTCATGGCAACTAGTTTGAACAGTGCTATGTGATCCCACAGAAGTATTAAATCAATGTAGTGATAAGTTATACAACTGTTTATATAGAGGCTTTTGTTCAGCTGCCTTTAAAAAGTTTAAAGTTAAACTCAGATACGCACAAGTGACAACACTGCGAGTGATCGGGTTTCCACGGTTGCGTCCATTAAAGATGGGCTGAACACTATAGGTGTACTGAGTTCCAGGAATCAGACCGGCAATGTAAATACGACCAGAGTCAGAGGTCTCTTCTCTAGGCGACTCGCCTTCCTCGCTGGGGAGCACAGACAGCTGGGGAGTAGGAGGAAGATGTGTAGAGATTAGAAACTTAGAAATTCTCTGTGGGTTTGTGACTACAAGTAACCCCTTTCACATTAGATATAGTGATTTGATTATTGATAGTATAAAAATATTCATTAGGGCAACTTAGAGAAGGTTTCTACCTTGTAGCTGAACCTGCGGACGGGTATCCAGGTGATGATGATAGAGGTATCAGTGACCTCAGTGCTGAAAGCAGGAGCATTTCCCATCTGGGGGGCTAGGGGGAATACAGTATGACAAAAATTCATTTTTCAGTTAAATTCATTTTAACAAATTTGTTCTACTCTCTGCTGATGTTCTGTTCCCCATAATACTGACCAGTAGTAAAATATGTAGTGACACCCTCACTGAGCTCACTGTCCAGCTCCGAGTGCAGGGTGGCAATGTACTGGGTGTCTGGACGCAGATTCCTCAGCGGATACTGGGTGACTCTGCCTGGAATCCTCTTCTCAACAGGGGTGGTGCCTCCAGTGCTCAGGAAGAGACGGTAGCCAGTGACGACGGCACGGGGAGCCTCCCATATGACCAATGCACTAGTGGGGCTGATATCAGTGAACTGCACATTGGTTGGTGAATCAGGTTCTGGAGGAGTTAGAGAATAAAAGAAGGGAAAAGTTGTAGCTATGTTTGGGTGGAATTTCACCTTTCAATTTGGGCTCCTTTGTCCATGGTGACCTACTGGTAGACTTTTCTCCCACGAGTGGCTCGCTCTCCACTCCACCATTGGTGGCGTAGATGTAGAAGCGGTAGAGTGTGCCTGGCTGCAAGCGGGTGATATCGGCATATGCGTTGGGTGAGACAGGCAGCTGCAGGAGCCTTGTCTCTGTGCCGTCAGGACCAATAGGGGAATAGGACACCCTGTAACCAGTCACCTCACTGGGTGGACCGGTCCAAGTGATGGTGATCTTTACATCTGAAACCTCATAGAACTGTAAGTCTGTGGGTGATGGGACCTCCTCTGTGGACAGGAAGTGGTAGATTGACAGAGGATATAGTCAGAATAAGACTTAAAAATACCCTCTAGAAATGCTATGGAGTAATGGTATCTGTTTAAACATATATACCTGGTAGAGGAGATCCAGCAGTGTTGACCTGTACAAAAACAGGCTCGCTCTCCCGATCCTCCTCTACAGCATAAATGCTGATGTTGTAGAGCAGGCCAGGACGAAGATCAACAAGGGTCACTGAGGTCTCCGAATCTGGTAGGGTCAGCTCAGTGCTGCGGCTGCCTTCCACTGAGGGCGTGTACACCACACGGTAACCTGGAAGGCACAAAGATATAATTATTGTACACACAGGCAGAATATAACCAATTTCTAAATCAAAATTTAAATTGCATATACAGTACACGCATACAGAAATTCGTTTCTTACCAGTAATAGGAGCCTGGGGTCTGGACCAGCTGATTTGAATGGAGGTCTCTCCCACCTCATCGACGGCATGCTGAGCAGGGGTGTCAGGAGCTGAAAGGAAAGCAACGGAAATCCTTAATGTCATATTGTGCGCACCAATTTACAAATTTTGCATAATGTTGTGACAAAGAGGAGAAGGAAGCTTCTTTTACCTGTGGTCTGTGAGGTAGTCAGGATAAGAGTTGGCTCTCCCTCATCTGGGAGCTCATAGACGTTGACGTTGTATCTGCGCCCTGGTAGGAGATCAGTGATGGTGACAGAGGTAGCTGTGTGAGGAACATCTGGAGAAACAGACAAAGTTAGTTAGTTAATGTGTATACCAGTATAATTACTTTATATATAGTATGATTTTTCAAACTGTTTATATCACATCATCTATGTGTGGGTCCATTTTGGGTGATGATGCTACTCACTGGATAGGAATGCTTCATGGCAATAGCCATGACTAGCCAAACAGACTTCTCTGGTTATTTTCCAGTAAATTTACTACAACACATTAATCAATATAAATCACATTTAACCAGAGATACAGTAGTCAGAACCTCAACAGGGAAACTACCCAGTTAATCAGTCCATTCAGTTAGGCGTTATGGAGGTTCCAGCGAGATCGTCAACTCTCACCTAGGACTCTTGGCTTCGCCCCCTCCTCACTGAGCTCATACTCCACCCTGAAGCCAGAAATGGTAGAAGAAGCTGATGACCAGGACACAATGAAGCTGTTTGAGGTGATTTCTGTCACCGACTCAGAAGTATCAACCACTGGAAGAGGCTGGGTCGTCTCTCCTTCTGATGTTTCCACTTGAAAGATGAAAGGATGCAATATTCATGAAAATATTTCTTTTGATTTGTGGTACTGAGAGAATGTTATTGCCCAAGTCAACTTACAAGAACCCTGGGTGGTGGTGAATTCAAAGCGTGTGATCTCACGACGTCCAAAGCGCAGGACGCTGATCAGCTGACCCTCATAGGTGACACTTGGACGCAGCCCACTGATGGTGTAGGAGTTGAGGTGACCGGGGATGGTGACCTCCTTCCAGGGCACACGGCTATTTTTCTACCAGAGGGAGTAAAAATAGTGAAAGAAAATGTAAGTGAAGTTTTAATAACAAAGCATAAACTGAAGAATTGGCTTCATCTGTTGATGATAAAAAGCTAAAGCTTAATCTCAACTGTTGTCTGTCTTCAGAGTGAATTCTAAACCTCATGGACAAGAACACTTATAAGTGCTCCAAAAATATCCATCCATCCATTCATCCATTTTCCTCCGCTTATCCGGGACCGGGTCGTGGGGGCAGCAGTCTAAGCAAAGATGCCCAGACTTCCCTCTCTCCAGACACTTCCTCCAGCTCCTCTGGGGGAATGCCAAGGCGTTCCCAGGCCAGCCGAGAGACATAGTCCCTCCAGCGTGTCCTGGGTCTTCCCCCGGGCCTCCTCCCGGTGGGACATGCTCGGAACACCTCTCTAGGAAGGCACCCAGGAGGCATCCAAAACAGATGCCCGAGCCACCTCAGCTGGCTCCTCTTGATGTGGAGGAGAAGCGGTTCTACTCTGAGCTCCTCCTGGGTGACTGAGCTCCTCACCCTATCTCTAAGGGTGCGCCCGGCCGCCCTGCGGAGAAAGCTCATTTCGGCCGCTTGTATCCGGGATCTTGCCCTTTCGGTCATGACCCAAAGCTCATGACCATAGGTGAGAGTCGG